ATGTATGTATGTATGTATGTATGTATGTATGTATGTATGTATGTATGTATGTTTGTATGTATGTATGTATGTATGTATGTATAGTGCTTTCTGGCGAGGTGGTGCAGTGGTTAGCACTGCTGCCTCACAGCAAGAAGGTCCTAGGTTTGATCCCAGGGTTGGGCATAGGTACTTTATGTGTGGAGTTTGCACAATGTTCACGTGGGTTTCTGCCTGAGGCTCTGGATCACTCCCATGGTCCAAAAGTGTGCAGGGCAGGTTGATTGGTGAGTATAAATTGGCTGCGTGTGTGTCTGTATGTAAACTGCAGTGTGTTGGTGACTGCCCAGGGTTGGTGCCCCTTGTTCCTGGGATAGGCACTGTGACCCCAGTTGGGATTAAGTGGTTACAGTGATGGATGGATAAAAATTGGTGTGGACCCACAGCAGCTGGACCAGGCCAAGGGATCGTCCACAAAACACCTGGCTGCAGCAGATAGACGGGCATTTCTGGAAGTTGGGACTGGACTGCATGTTGGCCTGGGGTGGGGTTGCCAACTGGGATCCTGAGATGTTTCATTGTGTGGCAATGTGCTATCCAAGTGCATGCCCTCAAAGCTGACCTGACTGAATGTGCACCTACAAAAAAATGGGCAAATAGAACTGTGTGGTTAAATTAGTATCCCTGGTTGATGGTAATGTTGGCTTTGTGTAATGTAGGGCAACAGGACACAGAGTAGTGAAAGAACAGGGTGAGAGCCTTGTTGTCCTCATTCAGTGCTGGGTTGCATTGAAACATTGGTACTGAACACAGTACAAATTAGGGCTATAGAGAAGAGCATCTGTTTATGCTGGCATCTTACCGGTTTATGAGGGCTATTCTTAGTCTGCAGTGACATTTTCTGATGTGTACGTACAGTGGCAGGGCTCTCTAAACCAATGTTTCCCAACCCAGTCCTTGGGGACCCTCAGACAGTCCATGTTTTTGCTTCCTCCCGATAGGGAGCAAAAATGTGGACTGTCTGGCAGAGGACCAGGTTGGGAAACACTGCTCTGAACAGCTTTAGGGTGGATTTTTGTTACAGACTCTGCAAGGAGGTCTGACTATAGAAAGTCTGGGGATTTACCTTTGCCTTTGCAGTATTTGAGAAGATGGGGGTATTGTTATATGTAGTGAGTGCTGTAAGACTTGGCTTTCTGAACCTCCAAGGGCTTGTTTGACAGTGCACATCCTCCTCATTGCGTTTTTAGCTCTGCAACATTGAGCGATGTCTGACACTTTCAAGAGTGCAGTAATGGTCATTAATTTACTGTATAGACAGGTGAGGATTCAGAGCTTTTTTAAGTCCTAAAAGGGCCCAGCTGATGTTCTGTGAGGATTTTTCACTCTAATTGTTATGCCTGCCTGGGGTTAAGAGCCAAAGAAGAACAGAGCAAACACATCTTCCCTCAAGAGCAAACAGTCACACACAGTTCAGTAACTCAGGATTTTCTGTCTTTTTTGGCTGACAGATGTGTGATTGACAGAATCTTGAGCTTTTGTGTCAGCGTTTGGAAGGTCGTCATTTCAAAGCCTGGGTTGGCAAAGTGATGCTACTGTTGGACCCTTGAGCAAGGCCTTTAACTCCGTTTGCTGTTGGGGTGCTGGATCCTAACTGACCCTGACCTCTGACCCCAAAACTTCCTCTGACTTGTAAATGTATCCGGGTGTCTCATGCAGAGCAAGATGGGATCACTGAAAACAAACTACCTCAAGGTGATGAATAAACTATCAGTATTCTATTCTATGGAAAATGATTCAAGGGCAATCTCATCATGATATATATTTTCTCACCACAAAGTTCTACAACCTGAAGAACCTCAGAAGAGTACCTGTGACACACTAAATCCCGGTATTTAAAAAGTACCACAGAAAGGGACACTGGTTGTAAATCGACACATATAGTAACACTAAGTGGGCGGTTGAGTTTGCACTGGAGGTTGGCTGAGGTTTTTGATATGTAACATTCCAGTTGGGGTGGTATGGTGACATAGTGGTTAGCATGGTCACCTCACACCACTGGGACGAGCGTTCAAGATTCCACCCCAACTGTTTGGGGTTGGCATGTTCTCCCCATGTTGTCCTGGGGTTTCCTCCGGGTACTCCAGCTTCCCACCACACTCCAAAAACATGCTACGTTGAATTGGAATTACTGAATTGCCCGTAGGTGTAAATGGTGTGTATGTACCCTGCAATGGGGTAATGCCCCATCTTAGGTTATTCCCCGTCTTGGACCTGTTGCTTCTCGGAGGGCTAGACCCCCCTGACCCTGCATAGTGAGTACTGGAAGCAGATTCATTTTTCACGTCTCATTGTGTCACGATCCGACATGGAAGCAGGCGACGGAAGCCGTGAATATGAACGAAAAGGGCTTTATTGCTGGGGTAACAGACTCCAAAACACGTAACGTCAATGACCGGACTGGGGAAACGAATGGAAACGCGGACTAAATACACTGGACTAATGACAACAATCAGAAACAGCTGGTAAACACTGGGAATCCACATGAGGTTCACGAGGGGGGCATGGCACAGGAGGATCAGCACGATCGGGGTGTGACACATTGTAACCTTGTACTGGGTAAATAGTATGGAAGACTGGATTGCTCAACTGTTAGTAAATACAAGCGCAGTTGGTTTTATTTTTCATCCACCATTATTGTTCCAGAGGCCTTCCGAGCCCCAGCCTTCCACGATGGAGCAGACAAAAATGGCTTCAGCCTGGGCTTCAATGAAAACTTCCGGCAGGTGTTTGGCAATGATAAGAAGCTCTGGCTACTGCCTGTCTTTTCCAGGTAAAAATCTCTCCCAGTGTGTAGGTAGCATTTGGCTGACACGATGAAACTGTCCGCAGTGCCGTTCGTCATCGTTGCAGTCCTCTGTTTCATGGAGGGTTCTGCAGATTCCAAGCAATATTTCCGCAGAAAGAAGTAATGGCTGAGTTTCATAATACAGGCAATATTGGATTAATCACTCATGCTGGATGCATCAGTAGTCTGTCTCCTAGGGGTTTATTTCCAGAGGGATGTGGTTGCCAATGTCATCTAATGAGAAATTATCTAAGACTCATGTTATCTATGAGGCCAGGAGCTACTCATAGCTACTCATTACCCCAAAATAAATCAACATTATGCATTGAACTGTCATTTCCAACCTGATAGATGAATTGATTCTTTTAGTGATCGTACTTGTAGTAGCTTAAGTTTGTGGTTATTCACCTAGTATTGATCTTTGCAGTCTGAAGGTTTCTGTGATGGTAGAAGGGGAGTGTTTAGCATCATGTCTTCGTGTGTATGGTGTGCAGCCTTGGGGATGGCTGCTCATACCCCACCAGCCTCGTTAAACGGGATGCCGAACAGCCGCCCATACCGGCTGGACACAATTCACCCACCCAGAGGTGAGTGTGCACTCATGGGAGTTTTACTCACACAAAAATGCTCTGAGGGCAGAAAGAAAAATGATTGGTTGAGAGAGATAACCAATCAGATTGTAGAGGAAATGGGTCCTAGCAACTGGAGGAGCCAGGACCAAGACAACTGACTGCTTGGTCCCGCCTCCCCTAGTTGCTTGGACCCATTTCCTCTACAATCTGATTGGTTATCTCATTTAAATCAGGGTTTGAAACATTACTGTTTGCTGCAGCTTTTCAAAAGTCAAATCGACAGTAGTTTATTCATGCATTGCCACTAAAATGTAAATGTTAAAGTTAACCATTTATTTTGGCTGTCAAATTTTTGTTTTTATTGTCTTTTAAATGTTATTTTAATTTATCCCTATCTTTAAAGCACTTTGAATTGACTTGCATCTGAATTGTGGTCTATAAATAAACTTGCCTCCCCCCTTCACATTTTAATTCTCTCCAGTACTGGTGATGCCCCCCAGTTTCCTGCCAAGCCGCTGAGGGAGTCCCAGAGTCGTCTACTTCCTACGGGCCATTCTTGGACGAGGAATGAGCAGGTCGAGGATCAAGACACGCGCGGTGAGGTCACTTACAGCACAGGCCTGGGTGCAGAAACTCAGGGTGGAAAATACATGGTTAGACCCAGTGATAAATCAGCTTAAAGTACACAATAAACCGCAGTCTGCGAAACCTGCCTCAGGAGCGAGTCTAGTCATATAAATCATTACTTGCTGTCTACAACCATTCTCCAGTTATGATAAATTATTCATGTAGTTTTTTGTAAGCCATATTATTCGTTCTCATTTGAAATTCTTTTTTCCACACAAACAGTATTTGCATAGTAATTTTATAACTGCAAATCTGACAAAACACTCTCATCTGATCTCCGGAAATGCACCTGATTAAAAAATATGGCTGTCATCACCATGGCAACTGACACAAATCAGCAGAATCAACAGATTCATAGTTACTTTTATTAGTGACAGACGGTGTGAGACAGATGATATGATTCGTCGTACCAGTCCTGTTACTTTACTTCATAGGGGAGTTTGACTGGACATTGTCTGGGCAGTCCAGGGGAAGTCGGAGCTGCCATTTTAGGCTGCTTAACCTTGGAGTAGATACATCCTATGATAAATGTCCATCCATCCGTCCATCCATTCCCTGCCGGGGGGGGGGGGGGGGTTACCAAGGCATTCCCAGAGCAGCCGAGAGATATAATCTCTCCAGTGTGTCCTGGGTCTGCCCCAGGGCCTCCTCCCAGATGGGCATGCCCGAAACACCTCCCCAGGGAGCCTAACTGGATGCTCGGACCACCTCAACTGGCTCGTTTCGATGCAGCGGAGCAGTGGCACTACTTTGAGATCATTCTGAATGTTTGAGCTCTTCACCATGTCTCAAAGGCTGAGCCCAGACACCCATAGGTGAGGGTGGGAACGTAGATTGACTGGTAAAGTTTGGCCTTCCAGCTCAGCTCCCTCTTTACCACAACAGAACAGTACAGCATCCACAACTCTGCACAAATTTGTCTGTCATTCAGTAAATGTTAAATAAATATTTGTAGCTCCAATGCTCTTTGTTTGTTTTGTGTTTTAGGTACAAGCAACCCAGCCATGATCATAGAAAATGAGACTTAATTTTTTAACCTGGAGATGAAGGTGGGTAACTGAACTAAACGTTTCACTCAGAATCCGAGGTTCACATTTTGCAAAATTCAGGCTGGTCCAGAGATCTCAAACATAATGAAAGAATGTGTGTCTACTGAGGTCATGATAATCATATTATGACATACTCATGGTAAACAAATAATCAAAGAATATTTGATTAACCTGCATTATTCTGCTACCTGTAGTCTCTCTCTTCCCTGTGTGTGTGCGTGTATATATATAAACTTAAAATGAAAAACTATTTAGATGACTAAAATATGACTGATGTGATTGAGAAATCATATCCACATTTTAACTACATGTCCAAGCTAGAATTTTCCAGTTTGTATATCGTATATGTCTAATATCGGATTTTTCTGCCATGAATACAAAGTACAATTGAATACAATTTCTTAAGATCAGGAGGAAGGATTTGAGAGCATAAAGGCTTGTTTTTCTGCTAGCTGGCCACTGATAACGATCCCAGAGTTTCACAATGCCTGATTAGGCAGCACCAAGCCATGGATGCTTCAGGCATATCCGCTTCCCTACATATAATTGCAGCTTTTGAACACGATATGTGGGAATGAGGAAGCAGTGGCACTCATAAAGCACAGGGAGCTGTTTGGGTTTGGGATATGAAAGCTGAAATGCATCCCCAGGGTGCAGATACCATCACTGAAAGGGAGTACAAGGTAATATTATGACTATTACCGTGAAACACAATCGGTCCACTCAACCAGAGCAATGACTGAATCTATCCTCTTGAAGTAATCTCTCATTTGTATGTGTTGTATATCCCAAAATCTTTAAAACATTGTATAAAATTTTTTAAAAAAAAGGCACGAAAGGAACAGAATTAGCATTTTTTGAAATACAAGCCAGATAGTGGGTTTTGTTTACGCGACATGAATAATTCACGCGCTAAATCCTCAAGGCCAGGGATGACCAATCTTATCCAGTAAAGGCCATAGGGTATGCGGGTTTTCACTGCAACTCACTAATTAGATTACTAATTGGAGGTTGGATTGGATGAAGAGTCCTCACACCTGGGTCTGAACAGCTGACATAAAGGTTATCCCAAAAACCTGCGTACACATTGGTCCTTTGCAGATAAGATTGCCCACCCCTGCTCAAGGCACAACAACGGTAAGTTAAATTGCAGTTTTAATAGTCTGTGATCTTCAAGTCAAGAGGCACGCTCAAAAATGAATGCTAAATCATGCGACAGAATGTGATGTCACTGAATTTCTATTTTCTTGAAAGGTTTATCTATACAACTTGGGTAAAGTGACGATCCTGACTGGAAAAACATCCAGATTAGGAGTATGTGATGCCTGTTTTGACACATGAAGGCATTTTTCGTATGTATTCATCTGTATTTTTAGCATTTCATCCCAAGTGCTGTCCACGTACTGCAGCTCTTATGAAACAGAGCTATTTACCTGATCCGATGTCCACCTCCCTCAACCCCCCCATGTTCTCCTGTGTCCACAGCCTCCAGACTGACAGCAGAGGGGTCCGATCAGCCCCCGCGCTCACCAGCCTGCGTAGGCACATGTCACCAGTGTGTAACTCTGCCATCGCCTGTCTGGCTGTCTCCATGCTCCTGCTCGAACGCAGTGTTAAAAAAAAAAAAAAAAAACTGTTTTACGTCCTCTGTGTTCTTTATTTGCCAAGAAAGCAGCCGTGTAGCGTCCAGTTGGGGCCTGTGCTGCAGCCGTATGGAGCAGGATGAGCCTGAGGGCCAGGCTCATTTCAGTTAACGCAGGGACCAGGCTCATTTCAGTTTACCCAAGGGCCTGGTCCAATTTCGGTTATACCTGGAGCCAGGCTCATTTCAGTTAACCCAAGAGCCTGGTCCATTTCAGTTAACGCAGGGACCAGGCTAATTTCAGTTAACCCAAGGGCCTGATCCATTTCGGTTATACCTGGAGCCAGGCTCATTTCAGTTAACCCAAGAGCCTGGTCCATTTCAGTTAACGCAGGGACCAGGCTAATTTCAGTTAGCCCAAGGGCCTGATCCATTTCGGTTATACCTGGAGCCAGGCTCATTTCAGTTAACCCAAGGGCCTGACTCATTTCAGTTACACCAGGAGCCAGGCTCATATCAGTTAACTAAAGAGGCAGGCTCATTTCAGTTTCACCAGAAGCTATGCTCATTTTGCTTATCCCAGGGGCCAGGCCTATTTCAGTTACACCTACAGCCAGGCTCATTTTACTTACAGCAGGAGCCAGGATCATTTCAGTGACAGGTAGCAGTTGATCAATTGACTCTGTTCCTGAAACAAAATGACTAATTTATTTAAATGAGAAAAGCTCTGTCAGTTTAATAACTGGAATATTTGACAATACCTGGATTTTCTGTCAATGTTATCTAACATTGTTTTATATATGCATCTTTTTATACTTGTGAAATGCATACATCAGAGTAAGATAAAGCATAAAGTGATACACGAATCAGATCATTTCAGCAGACTCCCACGAGCCAAAGAGGGATGCAAGATTATTTGTATACCGTAGCATCAAGATGAATTTTCTTGCGTGATAATATATTGAAAAGAGCAAATCTAGCATATTAAACATCTGGGAAGGCCGCAGGTGCTTTGGTTTCTACAGGAAGACTGTTTCATCTTTCCACCATTACAGAGTTTGCACAGTATCTGTGATACTGCAGCTGCTGAAATTTTAATTGGAGATGTCCTGGCTGGTTCATACACCAGGCCCTCCCTGCCATGCCTGTTTTAAGTGAAATTGGGTTGAGGTACCCCACGTTCCACCCAATCTCCAGGGATGGTTCACAAGGCGGCGGCTACATTATCTGGCATTGCTGATCTGAGGTTTGTTTCCCCACACATGGACTGTAGGATTTAAACAGGCAAACCAGATTCAGCTCTTCCATTTTTCTAAGGCTTGTGGCCTCCAGTCAGCACTGCATGACGCTTGATGTAATTCAGTTGATGTTTTAAGCAGTAATGCTACGTCGTATGGTGTAAACTGGGACGTGTGGCTGTGTATTCCCCAGACGTTATTTCTGTACTTGCTCACACTGGAGGAAAGGACAGCAATCTGGACCATTATTCTAGACACGGAACAGCACATCCGTTTGCCTGTTTGAATATTCCATACCTGAGATGTGGGCATGAAGCCTCGATCTGCGGGGTTGTGCAATCAGCTGAGTATGAGCTGTTTCTGCCACAGCATATAGACTGATAGGCACCTAGAAGAGACTCCTCCACAGCGATGTGTGGGCCTCCAGGTGAGCCGGTGGCTCCGAGGACTCCCTGCCTCAGCTGAGTCATCCACTGACAGAACCTTTGTACTAGAGGGTTTCGGTAATTATTTAGTTTACTTGCGTCACAAGGTCTCAGTTCCCCAGCTGTCGCTACCTGTTAGTAGTCCGGCCAACGTCAAGTTGGGTGAACGTAAGCATCATATAAAACGAACGACTGGCTGTTGCGGTTTCAGAAACGACGCGGGACAAGAGCCACTGCCGTTTGTTTAGGTCTAACCGTGAGAAACTATGCGAAATTATTTCATTGTTATCAAGTATATCCAGATAAATTTGATTCCAAGAATTAAGAATTACTTGTATAATGAATAATACTATGCCATGTAATTTACTGTGAACTGTTAAAAAATGTTTGGTTTTGTTACACTGAGGAATGCTGCATTACTTCTTTGAGAAACTTGTCTTACTATGTATGCTTTTATCAGATGCAATCGATGTATTACACAATAGTAAACTATATAATCTATTTTTGTATGGTTCTATTCATTGGTGACATGCAGTTTTTTCCCCTTGGGCATAATTGTTAAGGCTGTTAAATGTGTGTCATGCCTTGTCCAGAAAAGAAATAAAGGCTGGTGCTCAAGTGTTCCTTCTTAGCTGTTGTCAAGCTGAAAAATGACCATTCACCATTCTCCGGTCTACTGATAGCATGACATCAAAATCGATCAATGAGAAGCTGTTTCATGAAGTAATTTGTTTCACTAGTATTTATTTATGTTTGTACTAGTTAACACTGGTATTCAAGATGGCCATGGATTTCTGTGTATCGCTAACTTTACCAGGTTAAAGTTGGGAGCTAGATAGCTAGCTAAATAATATTAATTGGGGATATGAAGCAAGAATAGTTTGTACCTTGACACTGACATATGCATCTTGCCAACAACAATCGACATAAGTCCATTTAAATAGTGCCTGTGTAAAGACAGGTTTCTATTTGTGATGTTTTAATTTCTGAGAAATTTGTGTTTTTTCACCGGACAGCAATGATATAGAAGATTGTCCACAAGGGAATAGTAAGTTACTTTCACTCATGTATAAATAAACTGGTACTGTAATTTAAACTAGGCACTTGGGTCATTTAATTACTTGGAGGGGAGTAAACAAGAAATTAAAATAAGCTGCTGTTCCTTCAACCCATAACACTAAGCTGAAGACCTATTCCTAGGCATTCAATCACTGCGCAAAGCTGCTGTGATCCCCCACAAATACCAGCCTTGGAAGCAAGACTTCCACAAGCAGTAGTAACTCTGAGATGCATTAGTCTGTGACCCTTTATTTAATGCAGAAATAGAGGTCTCGATGTCACACGTGTATCTACAACAGTGTTTCTCAACACTTTCCTCCCTGGGCCCCTCCAGACGATCCACATTTTCGCTCCATCCCAGCTACTCAACACCTTCAAAAACAAGGTCTGTCTTGGTGAGGGGGGGGGCAGTTCAGGACTAGATTAAGAAACACTGACGTACAATATCTATGGAGAACTGAACATATGATAATATCATTGACTTCAGCTTCACCCCTCACTATAAGTATTGGCTGGTTAGAAAGGGGATTGCTTTAAAAGCAGGTGTCTGAGTAATCTAGTTCACTCATGAATCCCTAGTTCTATGCAACCAAAGCTATTAAAGCGCGTTAAGGGTGACGGCGGAAAGCTGACAACCCACACGGCAGAACACCACACCTCCGCTTTTATTACTCAAAGATCTGCTGATTGCTCGTGTAAATGCAGGTGAGAACATAATAACGAAAATACTGAATGTATCACCTTTAGAGTCAGATACACACACAACCCCGGCAGCAGAAAAAAACAGCCAAATTAAAACAAGTCAATTAATATCCTAAGTAAGAAAAGTCAGAAGCCTTTATTTACAAAAGCTCTAAAAACAATCGGCCTTTATACTGTCAAATTAGTCTTTAACAGGGACCCTTAACAGCAGTAAAATAAAGAGAAACCAAAATGTGACGTGAAGTGCTTTCTAGTGAAAGACAACAACCAATGAATGATCACGTCCCGTTCATGCAGCGTAGAACTCCGAAGGCCAGGTTACCAAAGAACAGCATGTACAATGTCACCCTTCAAATGGCATGGACACATGCGGCAGCTCGAGTAAATGGATGAATTGTAAAGCAATACAATATCACAAAACAACCAGCATTTACCAGTACTACAGGTAAAAATAATGCCACTGTAATCAGGTACTTGAGTTGGTTAAGATTTTTGTTAAGAAGCATTTTCTTAAATGAATAAAAGCTGTATTTTCATACTAAAACACTACAAAACGTTCAAGTTATTTTAGAAAATGGAGAAGAAAACAAACCTTATGGGAAACTAAAGGGTGACCTCATACGACTGAGAACTAAAGGGTGACCTCATATGACTGAGAACTAAAGGGTGACTTTATATGACTGAGTGGCCAATGGATCTGAAACGGGTGCCAAACAGGTATGAAAACCGTGAGAAGTGCAAGTGCCAAGGTGAAGTCTGCTATGCCCCGCACACCCATACTCGAGAGTCCCTTATCACTGGGAGATGCTACAGCGAAACTGGGCCAGTTCTGCTGAACAGGCCATACAAACGACAGCACACTTTAAGTATATGCCAACAATAAATTATATATATATATATAAAAAGAAAACATATATAAAATGTAGTTAATATTAAGGCTGAGCTTTGTGGGAAGAAATTAAAACCCATGTAGTATTATTTTTTCCCTTCAGTGGAACATTAATGTAGAAAAGGCAACGAAATGGGGGG